CCGTCCCCGCGCCGCTTCCCGCTCGGGCCCCGGCCCGGGCTGTGTCGCTGATGCCGCCGCCGGCAGACACGTCCCGGAAGCCGAAGGAGAGCGAGCGGGACGGGCAGGGCTACCGCTTCGTGCCGCGGGCCGAGATGGAGGCGGACATCAAGGCGGGCCGGTACCTGGAGCACGGCGAGTACGAGGGGAACCTCTACGGCACCCGCATCGACTCCATCCGCGCCGTGCTGGCCGCGGGCAAGATGTGCATCCTGGACGTGAACCCGCAGGTGCGGGGGCCGCGGCGAGCGGCGGCCGGGCCCGGGGCTCCCCGGCCCGGGGGCTGAGCGCTGTCCCCCCGCCAGGCCGTGAAGGTGCTGCGGACAGCGGAGTTCGTGCCCTTCGTGGTGTTCATCGAGGCGCCCGCGCCCGACAGGCTGCGGGCCATGAACCGGGCGGCCCTGGAGAGCGGCGTGGCCACCAAGCAGCTCACGGTGGGGCTCCGGGGAAACTGAGGCAGCTTTTGGGGAGGGGCAGGGGGAGGACGCACAGGTCGCAGTGGGATTTCCTCAGCGTCCCTGGGGGTGATGGGGAAACTGAGACAGGTTTTGGTGGGGCAGGGGGAGGACGCACAGCTCGCAGTGGGTGTTTCACACCATCCCTGGCGCTGATGGGGAAACTGAGGCAGGTTTTGGTGGGGCAGGGGGAGGACGCACAGGTCGCAGTGGGTGTTTCACACCATCCCCGGGGGTGATGGGGAAACTGAGGCAGGTTTTGGTGGGGCAGGGGGAGGATGCACAGGTCGCAGTGGGTGTTTCACACCATCCCCGGAGCTGATGGGGAAACTGAGGCAGGTTTTGGTGGGGCAGGAGGAGGGCACACAGCCCACGATGGGATTTCCCCACGGTCCCCGGGGGTGATGGGGAAACTGAGGCAGGTTTTGGGGCGCAGGAGGAGGGCACACAGCCCACGATGGGATTTCCCCACGGTTCCCGGGGGTGATGGGGAAACTGAGGCAGGTTTTGGGGCGCAGGAGGCGGACGCCCAGCGCACGGTGGAGGAGAGCAGCCGCATCCAGCGCGGCTACGGGCACTACTTCGACCTGAGCCTGACCAACGACGACCTGGAGCGCACCTTCGGGCGGCTGCGGGAGGCCATGGAGCACCTCCGGGTGCAGCCCCAGTGGGTGCCGGTCACCTGGGTCTACTAGGGACCCCCGAGCCCCACCCCGGCCCACCCAGGGGGGCTGCAGAGGGGCGAGGGGGGCGGTCTCGCCCAGCGGGGGCTCCCTGCAGAGCCCCCCAGGACAAACCCGACCCCTCTGTGCCCCCCCCCGCCCCAAATCTGGGGAGGGGTCCCGTGGGGGGCACGGCCCCCCCAGAGCTGAGTCACTGCCAGAGCCTGGGGAACCCCCCCGGATTGGGGATGGGGGGTTGGGGTTTGGGGGGCCCCCTCGCTGTCCCCCAGGCCACACCCCCCCCTCGGGGACCCCCTCCTCCCCTTAGCGGGGTGGGGGTCCCTCGCTGTCCCTCGTGTCCCTGTCGCCCCTTCCCAGGTAGCAATAACCCCTCCCCGCGCCCTGTAATTAACCCTAATTAACCCTTAACCGCCCTTGTAATTAACCCTGTCATTAACCCACGGCGGGCTGTGCCTGGGGGGGGGCTGGGGTGGTGACACGGCTGTCCCCAAGGGACGGGGACACGGGGGGCGTGGGGTGCGCCCCCCCCCCCGCCGCCCCTCGCCCCTTTTTGGTACTTTGCTGTCGATTTTATTAAAGGAGAGAAAAACGCGTTTGTCCCGCGTGTGAGCGTGGGGGGGCTGGTGTCACCTGTGTCACTTGTGTCACCTGTGCCACCTATGTCATACTTGTCATACCTGTGTCACTTGTGCCACCCATGTCCCCTGTGCCACACGTCCGCCTCCCCAGCCCTGCCCTGCCGGTGTTTTTTTCTCTGCAAATCGCCATTTCCCGCTAGTCTGGGGCTGGGGGTGGGAGCGCGGGTGGGTGTGTCTCACGCGTGTCACACGCGTGTCACACGCGTGTCACCTTGCACACGCGTGGGGCCCTTCCTCGGTGCTGCCGGGAGGGGTCAGCAGAGCCGCAGGCACCGGGGGGGGCGGGGGGTGTGCAAGGGGTGTGCAAGGGGTGTGCAAGGGGGTGTGTGGGTGTGCGAGGGTTTTTTGGCTCCCTTTGCACAAGCATGGGTGTGCCCGTGTCTGTGTGTGCAGCGCCCCGGGGTGACACGCGCATCCCCACGTTGTGCACGTGCGTGGGCACCTCCCACGGGCTGCCATGGCCATGGGGGGTCACAGGATGTCACAGGGGGCCAGGGGGTGGGTGCCCCGTCCGTGGGTGCCCCATCCGTGTCCGTGGGTCCGTGTCCGTGGGTACCCCATCCATGGGTCCGTGTCCGTGGGTGCCCCCTCCATGGGTGCCCTTTCCGTGGGTCCGTGTCTGTGGGTGCCCTGTCCGTGGGTGCCCCGTCCATGGGTCCGTGTCTGTGGGTGCTCTGTCCATGTAGTGCTGTGTTCGTGGGTGCCCTGTCCGTGGGTCCGTGTCCGTGGGCCCGTGTCCATGCCTGCAGTGTCCGTGTCCGTGTGTCCATGTCCGTGTGTC